TGAAACATATTAACCCCTTTCCTTGTTATGAAACATGCTAACCGCCCCCTTTCCTTGTTATGAAACATGTTAACCGCCCCTTTCTTTGTTATGAAACATGCTAACCGCCCCCTTTCCTTGTTATGAAACATGCTAACCGCCCCCTTTCCTTGTTATGAAACATGCTAACCGCCCCCTTTCCTTGTTATGAAACATGCTAACCGCCCCCTTTCCTTGTTATGAAACATGCTAACCGCCCCCTTTCCTTGTTATGAAACATGTTAACCGCCTCTTTTCCTTCTTATGAAACATATTAACCCCTTTCCTTGTTATGAAACATGTTAACCGCCCCTTTCTTTGTTATGAAACATGTTAACCGCCCCTTTCTTTGTTATGAAACATGTTAACCGCCCCTTTCTTTGTTATGAAACATGTTAACCGCCCCTTTCTTTGTTATGAAACATGTTAACCGCCCCTTTCTTTGTTATGAAACATGTTAACCGCCCCTTTCTTTGTTATGAAACATGTTAACCGCCCCTTTCTTTGTTATGAAACATGTTAACCGCCCCTTTCTTTGTTATGAAACATGTTAACCGCCCCTTTCTTTGGTGAACGCTGATTAACTCGTACGTGGTAATTGCATCTATAAGAACTGGGAGAACTTCCTCATTTTGAAACCCATTACTGTTACTCTAAGTTCCTGCAATAGCTCACAATGACGTTTATTGCAGCCGACATGTCATATAACAGATATATAGCCACCACTGTTGTTATTTCCTTCCCACTAGCAGCTCGTACGTGGCACCAGCAAATCACTTATATTATCATCTCTTTCTTTTCGTTGACTCTCCCTCGTCTCTCTGGATTTTCGTCCTCGGTATTCTATGATTCATTCGTTTAAGAAACAATCCCTCTTCCGATCCTCCCTCGCATTTTTATCCCTTTTAATGGTCACATTAGCCATCTGTTATAAGTCTCATCCTTCTTAACGATCACATTAGTCTTAATAAGTCTGATCCTCCGCTGTCATCCCTTGTTAATGACCACACGCCCTCCTCCTCCTCCTCCTGCAGATCGTGGTGGTGTTCTACGTGGTGATCATCGCAGTGCTGGTTGGGACGACCCTCCGGCGGCGCGGCCAGGTCCTGGAGGAGGCTGAGGAGACGCGTCACCTCCTCATCTACGACGAGAAGACCGACAGCGTGACGCCGACCCCGGCCGTCCCGACCTCCAGGATACACGAGGCAGGACTGCTGACCGTGTGAGGTCGTAGTCGAACTGCTGTTCTGCCTGCTTGCAGAACGACTCTCTGACGGGGAGAGGTCAGCCTGCTCGTTGAAAGTCGTCAGAATGCTGACAGCTTGATAATATTCTGCTGACAGTATGGTGTCTACAGAAAGTATGGAATGGATGCGGAGGATGTTTGAGTTACTGAAACAGCACGTCCAGTCAGCAAGTGATCTAAGGCAAACTTGCTAGTCGTGAGAGCAGGTTATGGCTTACAGATGCTTATAAAAGTTGCAACGTAACTAATCAGAACTTACAGGCTTTTTCTTAATTCATAGATAAAAAAATGGTAAGAAAGAGTGAGTGAGTGAGATAGATAGATAGATAGAGAGAGAGAGAGAGAGAGAGAGAGAGAGAGAGAGAGAGAGAGAGAGAGAGAGAGAGAGAGAGAGAGAGAGAGAGAGAGAGAGTGAGAGTGAGAGGCACTCAGTAAAAAAAACAAAATCACTCAAAGCTGAAGTAATCGTAATGAACAGCAATCTGAACCAGCGATCTACAAATCTTACAAAACATGCACAAACCAACCTAATTTCGCCTGATGTAGTCTTGTTCAAGGAAGGTTTAATTCCACAAAGTGTTTGAAGTTTTGTGAAGCGAAATCCGTCGTTACATCAAGACCGATTCAATTCTGTTAATAACGTCATTTCATTGATGATATTTAATCAAGCAAAAGCTTTTTTTTTTGTCTGACGCTTGGCCGATCCTGTGACTGGTATTAAAAAAAATGGGACGAGAATGATAAGGTGTGCTTTTTCATGGATGATGTGTGAACTGCTTTTGTGCTTTTATATAAAAAATAGCTATATTCGGTGAATGTTTACCGTAAGAAATGCACAGGATTATATACATACATAGATAGACATAAGTTAGTTTGAAGTATCCACGGTTTTGTATGTTATTTATGTCCTTACGTGTCTATAAAACGCATATAATCATAATGATGAAAATACGACGATACTCAAAGCAAAACATATCATTAGCAGAACTTTGGTTTCTTAGAAAGTTAAAAGAAAAGAACAGACACTTAAATCCACTTACTTTTAAGGAGGAATAGAAGAAAATGGAAGAGGAAAGCCCGCATAAAACTGACTAAAACAAAAGACAATTCCGTTATCTTTTTGAGGAAAGAAAGAGCAGAAAGAAATCGTTAAGAAAGGAAAGAAAAGCGGAAATAAAATTGACTGTCAAGAGAACTTTCCTCTTTGTTTTGTTTGAAGTCCAGGCAACTCAGAGGAAATAACTTGTCGTCCGTTAATGTAACGCTATGTATAAGCATTCGCAAGCCCTGATTAATTTCGTTTCAAGGTTACCGAATTTCCATTGGATTGTAGACAGTTAGTTCCAGTGAATTCATTAATGCTTGTTTCGGCTGGTCTAGACTAAGAGAGAGATCTCTACTTCTACTCTCGCGGTGTAACGGCAGGGAAATACATATCAAAATAATTGCAAAGTAATTTCTGGTTTTACTCTCTGGGTCATTTTATCAGAGGATGTCCATATCTGTAAGGTTGTTGGCTGAAGGTAAACGAAGGAATTTATCAAGATTTTTTTTTTAAACGTGAAAGGTAAAAAAATATATATATATTTCGCGAAAATAGATCTGACAATGTTCTTACATGACTGAAACGTCGATGTTCAATGAGGAAAGAACAGATCGCAAAGCGTGTTATATTCTTGTGAACTAGGAACACGATACACTGTATATATAAAATGGCAAAAAAATCAGCTTACAAGAAGAGAGGAAATAAGAAATCAGAGATAAAAAAAACAGTATACAAGGAAGATGTTATAGTTGAATTTAACAATTTTCTAAGACGTTCATCTCTGTGCATGACGACAAACCATTCTTAATTAGTGTACTGGCATGTCGTCTGCCTAGATCTCATGATTTTCATACGCATGCCCAAAGCATTCATTATACCAATTACATTAATTAACGCGACAGGGAATTCTGAATAAGTCTTTGAAACAGAGAAGGCTTTAAATATCATAATAGTCATAATGGATTTAACATATTAATCCATTTTATGCACGAATAATCTGTATGAAGGTATATTAATACGTTCAGTGATTTTGATGAGATTTGTATCAATCGGGTTGGAGGTTCAAAATAAGCCGATTACGAATTAAAAAATGATTCTGGAATATCAGAACTAAAAAAAAAAAAAAAAAATGAACAGAAAAAAAAATCTTATTCTGCGATAAAAAAAACAACAACTTTCATCCTGAAACAACAGAACTAATAACATCTTCCTGTATCATTATAAAACATCTTCACGAAAACTTCTTCAACATCAACCTACTCCGGACGATCGAAGGAAGCAACGCTCGCCGAAATCGAAGTGAAAATAGGAAGGCAACCAACCAACTCCCCCACCCCCCTCACTCCCCCACTCCCCCAACCCCCCTACCCCCTATCCCCTATCCCCTACCCCTATCCCACTCATGAAGCGCGAGACACCTTTGAGGGGGATGTTATCGAAGCACAGATGACCCGCGGCGTCTTCCCCTTTTCGAAAACGTAAGTAACAACATCAGGCACCCAATTACACAGTCAATATCTCGGGGTATTTGGATGGACCCAGTAAGCCGCCTCCGCCTCCACCTCCGCCTCCGCCTCCTCTCCGTTCGCCAGCTTGTCATTGGAGGGTGTAATTGGACGACAAAACGAAGGGGTGGTGATGCTGTGAACTCCTCCATCTCGAGATAGGAAACTCCTGTGAATACTTTTTTTTTTGGATTTTCGAGTCGTCTCTCTTTAGGTGAGTGGGGGAGGGGAGGTGGGGGGGAGAGGGGTTGTGATGTTGTGAACTCCTCCATCTCGAGAGAGGAAACTCCTGTGAATACTTTTTTTTTCGATTTTCGAGTCGTCTCTCTTTAGGTGAGGGGGAGGGCGAGGGGGAGGGGGGAGGGGTTGTGATGCTGTGAATTTCTCCATCTCGAGAGAGGAATCTTCTGTGAATACTTTTTTTTTCGATTTTCGAGTCGTCTCTCTTTGAGGGGGTGTGGGGGGGATGCGGCCTCATCCCGCGTGGAAGCTTTTGGATTCGATTTGGTTTGATCTACACGAATCCTGACGAAGAAGAATTGTGGAAATAATGAAAACGATCGATCAAAAAACAGACAAACAAACAAACAAACAAACTAACAAATAAACCCTTGTAAGACATTTTACTGCCATACAAATATCTTATTTTATGTACAGAAAAGTGCAAAGGCATTAAATCTAGAACTCTCTTGTTTTTTATTTTTCGTTTTTCGTTTTTTTTTTTTTTGGTCTATGACTATTTTTACCACTGCATATAACTACATCGTGGATCTCCGTGCTAGATGTATATAAACGATTTAGGATGTACTAAAAATTTGAGTCAGCGTTTTCACCAAGACATGAACAAATGAATAAAAGATGTCCAAGATATGTGAGTTTTTATTATCCATCACGTGAAAAATATTATATGAAAGAGAACCAAGGATATTACTGAAATATGGATTATTAAGGATAACTATTATTGATTGACAGTAACGACGATAACGATGATAATAATGATGACAACGACAGTGACAATACTGATGATAATGAAATGACTAAAGCTACTACAACTATTACTACTAATGATAATAAAAATAATGATAGCAATAATGATGATGGTCATGAAGATAATGACATCAATACTAATAATGGCAGTAATGAAGTTAACAGTAATAATGATGATAATGACAATATTAATAATGAT